TAAGTTTTTACCCTTCGACATCTTTCCCAAAAACTCATCTCGGGAACTTTTACGGTCCTCTTATCGACCCGCAAAGCCAACAGTTCGTCCGGACGATGGCCACGTCCCCGAACATAGAGCTCATTTCACCGCTTCGGTTACAGCGCGCTATATAAATATTCGAGACAATTCGGTCAGAGATATCTGGCCACAAAGAAATTGTCTTCAGAAAACCCAGTTGACTTCGACACTGGTACCCTAGTTCGCTTCTAAGAACTGGCTTCGACTATATCAGCTCGGGTCGCAACCGATAGAGATTAGTCCCATATAACCAAAACCCAGTTATCTTAACACTGGTGGACGATCCATTTCACTTTCGGTTCGGAAGTGGAAAAGGTTCGGGAGAATTAGCTTTTTCACATCACACTTACAAAAACCCAGTTATCTTAACACTGGTTCGCTATTCCGAAAGATAACTTCTACTGAACCGAAACTCATTTTTACCAAAACCCAATTACGTTGACATTGGTGTATAATTCGGTTTGGAAGTTAAAACGACTCGGGAAAAATTAACTTCTCAACGAGCAAATCTTAAACCCGGTTAACTTAACACCGGTGCATGATTCTTTTCGCTCTCGGCTCGAAAGATAAATCCAGCTATTTGACATTAGTTTTGGATTCAGTTCGGAAAATTTTTTAAGAAAAATACTTGACGTAATATTCAAGGGATAAAGCCGTCCAGGCATGTCTTACAAAAGAGAGAATAAAAAGACATCTCGGCATCAGATCGAATCTTGGTTAACCGGCGAAACTTGAGCTACCTCGGTACCACGGTTCGAACCCGACTGGTCGGCAACGCCTATCGCAGCCGCGGCACCCTCGATCGAACGATTCCCGAAGCTATCGTCGACAGAGTCCGGGGAAACCAGAGGAAGCTTCAAGTCCTCTCGCAGCTCGGTCCCGAGACGGACGTACTCATCCTCGGCGTCTCCATATTCGGTCGTCCATTGAAGGACCTCGGCCTTCTCATCCTCCACCTTTTTCCCGTCCTCCAGCTCGGCTATCAGCTCGGCATTGGCCCGCGCTTGCACCAAGTACATATAGCGCGTAGACACCTTCCCGTACTGGTCCATCTTCGCCTCGATAGCCTTGACCTTCTCGGCAAACTCACTTCTGGCTGCCCTCCGCTCTCTGATAATCTCCTTCTCGCGGAGAGCCTTCTCTTCGGTAAATAACCGATGAAGGCGTGCAATCTCGGCCTCGAGCTTTCTCCGAGTTCGCAGGCTATCCTTCGAAGCCTTCAACCGCTCCACCTTCTCGGCCTTAGCCGATGCCTCGGCCTCCTGTTTAGCCGCAATCGCCTCAGAAATCCTAGCCTCCACTTCGGCTCGGGAGATCTCCGACTTTTCGCGAGCAAGCTCGGATTTCCGAGCTCCAGAATCGTAGGCTCGAACCATGGAATTCATCAAGTTGAAGGCCTGTAATGGAACGAGAATCGTCAGCAAACACGTATGGAAACGATAGAAAAACACACAAGGAATGAATCTATACCTTCAAAAATCCAGCAGCGGTTTCATGGTAGTTTTGTGCCTCTAGCAAGGCCTCGGGAGCGGAAAGCGGCGGACCCGAACAAGAAGCGATAAGATTAGCCGAAGCTATCTTATCCTTGTAGATGGGAACCTCACTACGGCTCCTCTTCTCCTTTCTGCGTCCTCCCGATCTATCACCTCGGGGCCTCTTCCCTTTCGCCTTAACCTTCGCCTCGGCACCCAGAGCTACAATCGCCACAGCCCCTACTGCGTCGGGAACTTCCACATCCGGCCGAACATCACCAGAGGCCTCGGGTCTGGACAAATCTGCAGCGACCCGAACCTCCTCAGTCGCCTCGGCACCATCGGCAACCTCCGGATCAATGTTAACCTCAGGCGGAGTTGACAGTCCGAAAGTCGCCTCTAGAACCCTTTTCTCGTCTTCCGCCTTTCTTTCGGCAGCTTTCTTCGCCCTCAAAGATTGCGCAGCCCCTTGCATTTCAATGAGGTGATCTAGACGGTGGTCAAATGATTCTGAAGAAGACTGGCAGGGAGCTCCGTGCAACAAACGCAAGGCTCTCTCAATTCGTTCCTGGGAGAAGTGTTTCGTCCAATCACACTTCCGAGCTATTAGTTCATCGTGGAGGTCTAGAAAGCCTTCGGGAACTTCTTTGAGAAATGACGGGTTCCGATCTGCATAGACAAGAAAACACTCAGTGAAAAGTTTAAAGCAAAACAAAACGGCAAATACGACTTCGGGCGTAGTACCAATTTTTCTCCATTTTCCAACAACTCTCCCTAAGTAGTCCTCGTGGACACTATACTCATTCAAGGCTACGAAGAAGAAATGGTCGGTGTATTTCTCATCTTTGCTCGGGAAACCACCGATAACTCTCCTATTTGGCCTCGGGGATATGTAAAATCTCTCAACAGGGCCTGGTATGCGCCGGATCTCTAGGAGATTCCTTAAGTGGCTAAGGTCGACAAGGTTAACCGTTTCAATACTCCGGACTAGAATCCCTATAAGATGGCGTAAGCCTCGGGTTGTAATCTGAGACAAAGCGATCTTGTACGACCATAGGAACGCTAAAATCGGCCTCGGGATCGGAAGCCAAAGGTAGCAATGGTAGAAGAACCCCTCGTAAAGGGTGAAAAACCCCTCGAGCGGATCGTCTGCTCGTTCGTTCGGAGTTGGAAGTCTTAGCTCAATTCCCTCGCTAAAACCAAACCGGGCCTTGAGATCCCGAAGGGAGTCCTCCGTGCATAAGGTGGAACCCGGGGGATCGGGTTTCCTAGCTTTCTTGGCTCGTTTTCTCTTCTGTTGACCCTTGGCTGCTTGGACTTTAGCTTGGAGCAACCTAGCCGCCTCGTCAGAATCGTAGTAAACTTCCTCGGCCTTAATGAGTAGAGGCGCCTCGGGGGCATTTCGCCAGCGCGAGACTCCAGCTTCATCAGCCGCCGGTGGATGGATCCTCCTTCTACTCAAAATCGCCTCGGGATCATCAGGCAAATCCTGATCCCGAGCCACATTCGCAATCGTGTCTTCCCGAGCAACAAAACGGCTCGGGTCTTCCTCCCGTGAGGCCGACTCTGCGTCACTTCCACGGTACAACTCGATCTGACGGTCCGTGGTATCCGCCTCGGGGTCGCTCGAAGAACTCCAGACCATCTTTCTTTTGTAGACGGGGAGATGAGTGTCGCCTCGGGGTGAATCACTGGAGTCAGATAGAGACATTTTCTGGCTCGGGAGATTGAAGAAGTTGATCGGAGGAACAAAGCTCGACAGATCGGAGAAATCGACCTAGATCTAATGACGGTGGCGCTACGACGGAAGTATAACGGAAAAGTAGAGAAAATGCAAGAACTCAAGATCAGAGAAAGAAGAGAACGAACCTTGAAATTTTCCTTTGCAGTTGCGAAATGAGAGAATGAATCGGAGACTTAACATTTATAGGGACTTAAGGCGCGTCGGGTACGAACGAGCCAAATAAAAACATCGCGTCCGCGTCTAAGGCGCGTCGGGCACGCACGAATCTCGGGAATCAGCGAAAAGACCTTTCCACTTCTCGAAAAGGAATCCCAACCGTCACACGCCAAGAGAAGATGAAACGACAGGAATTCGAATCGCCAAAAACTTTAAAGGGACCGAACTGTCCAAAGTAAACGGCTCGGCCTAATTGTCATAGAGCTCGCCACGCTTGGGTCCCCAAACTAACGAGCTGGGGGGCTAACTGTTGGGGTCGGATTCCATCCTTTGGCTCCGAGCCAGACTTTGGACACCTCGGGAGTTTTACAGAGACCACCTCGGGATATCGCATCAGCCACCTCAGGTTATTCACCTAATCGATTTAGTAGACCCGAGCCCCTCGCCTCGGGGATACCTGAACAAGACGTCTCAAGCACCCGAGCCCATTGCCTCGGGGATACCTGAACAAGACTTCTCAAGAACCCGAGCCCAATTGCCTCGGGGTTACCCGAGCCCAGTCGCCTCGGAAGTACTCCAGCTCAATCGCCTCGGAGCACCCGAGCCCAATCGCCTCGGAGCACCCGAGCCCGTCGCCTCGGGGTACTCAAACAAGCCATTCTAGAGTGCCCGAGCCAGTCCAACCTGTATACCCGAGCCGGTTGCACGAGTTCTCCGAGGCGAAGTCTTCATCATCACCCGAGGCAAAGACTTGGTAAATATTCACCTTCAAAGTATCATTTCCAAGTAAGGTATCATTTCCGAAGGATCACTTCCGATAGACCCGGAAATGATAGGAGAGAATCTCGAAAGATCAACTCAAATCAAGAAAACCCCGAAAAATATGGAAACTATCCTAATCCGCGATATTCTGAGCCGACTTCAAGATAAATAGAAATCTTCCGGGAATATCGCTGGAGAGGCGGTTTATCACACCTATATAAAGAGACTCAAGGCTCAAGCAAAGGGCAAGCAATATCGCTCTAGAATTTACACTACGCAAAGCTCTCACAGCACAAACATCTTTTTCCTTTTACGATCAAACTCTTGTATGATCAAAGTCATCTTTTTCTTAATAATATCAAGAACACCATCTTTGGTTACAATCGTTTCTGTTGTTCTTTGAGAATTCACGATTATCGTATCCCTAAAATAAAACCCTAGACAAATCTTGATTGTGTTAGTTTCGACTTCCACAAACGTCAAAAGGCTGCAGAGGCAAAGCTTCTTGAAATTAAAGAGAGAAAGGAGCGACGTGAACGTTCCACTAAAGCATCAGCTTTGTCGACTCCGGTTGAAACGGAGAAGAAGATATTCCAGATGATGACAGCGAATAAGAGAGAGAGGTTTGTCCTACTTTTTGTT